ATATACCCGGGCTGTTTGAAAATGTGCGAACAAAATCGAGAGCTCTAGTATCTACAGAAGCTCTAGAAAAAGCTATATCAAATAGAAAGAAAAATATAGACGGAGAAACTGTAAATTGGTTGCAAATATCGACATTTTTTTCAAAATTTTCTTTTTGATGCAGAAATATTCCTAGAGCATCAAGATGCATTTCTGCATCAAAAATAAAATTTTGAAAAATATGTCGCTTACGTTATTTTGGTGGTTAGGGCTCGATATGCTGGATGAGATTCAGAAGAGACGAGCCACACAAAATTTTTTAAAAAATTACTATGGAATCAAGCGCTCCATTTAAAGCAATTTTTTCTATTTGGGAAAAGGGGAAGACCGAAATATCATAGCAAGATTACTATGTTGCCACTATATAGAACGCCTAGACCTGTTACAAAGGAGATATACACAGACATGATGAGTTTACTTCCTTTCATACCGCCTCTTCACCATGAAGTCTTCACTAGTCTAACTGTAAATTAGACATGCCAATAAAGCCTTCCGCCTTCCTTGCATTTTTTTACTTTGAAATTGAAAGATAAGAAATATAAATTTTACGTTCATACATAATAATCACAATCTTTTCTTACTTATTTTTTGTTTAAGTTATTAATTGAATACTTGTTTTAGTTATTATTTTCTTAAGTATAAAAATAACTACATAAATTTTGATTTTTTAACAAATTAAACTTCCATAAAGGGTGTTGACACATGGACTTAAACTTTTCCTCATTTTCGTTTTGGAATTTGTTGTTTTTGAAAGTGGTGCAAGTCCTTTCGGGGGTAAAAACTATCTTAGTTTCGTTAACAACTTCGATATTAATTATTGCATAATAATATTTGCTGTAATAGCACTTAAAAAAACATCACCTGGATGTATTAACCTTTACCAACATTTTTAAAATTAATCGAATACAAACTTTTAAATATCTCGATATATGCAAAAATGGACTTACACCACTTTCATTTATAACAGCTCATATGTTACATTCATACTTATATGCGCACCCAGTTTAATATTCTTCTGTCATCCCGATTCACTTCTCTGCTTCATAAAGCGACCTTTTATCACTACTGGGAACTGCACGAACAAACATATGCACTTACTAATACATGCATATGTATGTACATATATACATTGTATCCACCGGAATGACTTGCCATGCAAGAATGATTCCTTTACGCTTTCTTTTGCTTCTCTGCGATTTCTTTGAGCGTCTCACCACAACCACTTCCATCGCCATATCACCATCATCACCGTTTACCCACTAATTGGTCGCATTAAAATGTTTCATTCGATTTTTTTTGCGTGTTTTCATTTCAAATTTTATGCCGCACTTAAATCGCTTGTTGGTTTTTTGACGGTTTGTGTTTTCAGTTAGCTTTCGTCGGTCAATGCAACAAGTCGCAGCAACATTTCATTCAGTTGGCATAGACGTGAGCGTGAGTGTGTGTTTGTGTTTGTGTGGCAAAGCTGCAAGTTGCAAGTGCAGGCAATTTTCTTTATTTTTCTCTCAATTTTCTATTGGTGCTTAGAAATCAGATACAGCAATAATACAAATACATAGATTTATGAAATGAAAGGTGTGTGCAACATGTTTGTAGCGCAAAGTAAGAAGGTCAAGCGGTGAAAAAAAAACCATCAAAGAAAGAAAATAAAAACATTCCCATTCCCGTTGTATGCGAATTCGCACTCGCCGTGGGTAAGATTTTCCAAGGCACGTTTTTTAAATTTCTTCTGTTTATTTATTTACTTTGCACTTTACTATTGACTTCTGCTGTTGTTAAGTACGTACTATGTATATATGTATGTACTTTTAAATAATAAAGGGCTATACATTTTACTACATTTTGTAAGGAATGCTAATGCAGCAATACTCTTATTAGCTTGTAAGCAAAATATGAACACATAATACCATATTATGGTAACTCTAGGAGCTTCAAAAAAAAAAACTAAGAAAGTGAAGAAAAAGACTTACATATGTATTTATTGTCTGCCAGGATAAATCCAGTTATTACCAGGCCATCAAGCCTTTATACTATATACATACATATATGTAATTTAAAGGAATTTTTATATGTTAAGTAGGAGGGGAATTTATGTTGCTATTCTTGTGCATACGAAAACCTGGAGGGGTGTTAAGTACAGCCAAAGCTAATACGGCAAGCGGAGTTCTCCTTAGCACAAGTAAAGTCTGTAGACCCTGCCTTCTAACTCCCCACAGTGTCTCGAAAACCAAAAGTATTTCGTAAGGCAATCGTCAATTCCGTCAACTATCTTGAAAGCTCTTTTCTGTCTTTCGTACAACTTTCGTATGTAGTATCTAATACGCGTCTAAAGCTATAAGAACCGTGTGCAGACTGCCTAATTGAAAGATCTGCTAACGAGTAGGCCTAAGCGTTATTTTACTTGTCTTTTAGCAATACGTTTTCTAAAAATATAATTGAATAAAAAAATGATTGTTTTCAAAGCAATGTAATCTAAAAATTTAAAGAAGATTAACCTAAAAAAAATAAATAAATATAAAATATGTTTCTACAAATAAAATAAAACTGAAAAACAAGATATATTTTCCTTTTTAACAATAAAATCCAAAAATTATAAAAAAATTAATTGAAAGAGGAAAAGCAAATTAAATTAAAAAACAAGAAAACAGTTCCTACAAATTAAATGAAATTTAAAAAAATATATTTTTCTTGTTAAAACAATATCTAACTCGCTCAAAAGAAAATTTAATTAAAAAAAAAAACTAAAATAAATAAAATAAATTTCCAAAAATTAAATTAACCCTTTCCGTTGATTTGTGTAATATAATCGACATTTCATATGGCTGCGACTAAAATGCGACTGATTAACTGCCGTTTCATCTTTTTCATTTTGAATTTGCCCTATTTTCTTTCGAAAGCTTTCTAATTAGTAGATAGCATTGCTGAAATTAGTTGTAACAACATTTGTTTTTGAAGTTTTTTTTCAAGTTTTAGTGTTTTGCCTATCCCACAGGTAAAAACTCGTAGTTCTAAAACTCAGTGTATATAAACGTGATAACCAGAAAAACTTTTTAAAATCAAAACCAGTATTTTTTTTTATTCACTGAATTTTACTTAGTAGTTTTTAATTGTTTATTTGTGGTTTTAACAATTTTTACAAATCAGAGATGCCCTGTCAAATAAATTCGGCAAGCTATAACTTTTGAACGGTAAATTTTCCACAAAAAAAAAAGAAATATTTTTCTCATTTTCAGGGGGTTGACTTTTGAGCTTACCGTAAAATTGACACGGAAAGGGTTAAATTAAACATATATTTTCATTTTCAAATTAGTGAAATTTTTAAACTAAAAGAAAATATAATAAAAACAAGTAAGAAAGTCTAAGTTCGGGCGGAGCCGAACATTAAATACCCGGCGCAAGTATTAAATATATGCTTTCCACCTTTCCGAAAGCTACCGCTACATGATAAGCCGGGGTGTATACATTTTAAGTAAATTAGCGTCCTTAAATTTCGAAATATTGAAATTTCAAGCATATCTGAAATTTACCGTTATATGAAAGCGGCCTCAATTTTAGTCCGACTTCAACAATTTTCAACGGTTTGCTTTTATGTGGCAAGCACAATAACCATACCGAGCTTGGTACAAATTGCTAGAACGGTTAGCGAGATACATGTATATGTGATCACAAGTGGGCGGTGCTACGCCCATTTTCCAAAATTTTGTCATGAACGTATTTCTTGGTAAAGAATTGTTGCAATCATAAATTTTGAATAAATTAGCTTCAATATTTACTGATTTATCGAAGATTTTGTATTTCTCGAAATTACCGTTATATGGGATGTGGGCGTGGTTATTGTCCGATTTTAGAAATTTTCGGCCAGTTGGTATGCTATACCAGGACCAACAACTGTGCCAAGTTTGGAAGAAATTGTTGTAGCGGTTACCAAGATATACACATGTAACCATAAGTGGGCGTGGCTACGCCCATTTGCCAAAATTTGGTAATATTCTTATTTTTCGTCTAAAACTCATTGCAAATATCAATTTTGAGTGAATTATCTTCAGTAGTTACTAAAATATCGCAGTTTTCGTTTTTCTGAAAATTACCGTTATATGGGCGGTAGGCGTGGTTATTGTCCGATTTTTAAAATTTCCAGCCATTTAATATGCTGTACTAAGGCCAACAACTGTGCCAAGTTTGGAAGAAATTGGTGCAGCGGTTACCAAGATATACACATGTAACCATAAGTGGGCGTGGCTACGCCAATTTTCCAAAAATTTATAATATTCATATTTTCCGTCTGAAGCTCATTGTAATTATCAATTTTGAGTGAATTATCTTCAGTAGTTACTAAAATATTGCAGTTTTCGTATTTCTTAAAATTACCGTTATATGGGAGGTAGGCGTGGTTATTATCCGATTTCGCCCATCCGTCCCACGCCCAAAAGAAGTTCACGTACCAAGTTTCGTTAAGATATCTCAATTTTTACTCGAGTTATCGTGTGCACAGACGGACGGACGGACGGACGGACGGACGGACGGACGGACGGACAGACAGTCACCGCTTAATCGATTTCTCTTTTCATTCTGATCATTTATGTATACATTTGTCTATATCTATCTCGATTCATTTTGCCTGTTACAAACAACCGTTATGTGAACAAAGTTATAATACCCTTGTGCACAAGTGCGCTCGGGTATAATAAATAAATAAATTTAAAAAATACAAAAAATAAGTTCCCAAAAATTTAATGAAATTAAAAAAGATTAAGTTCAAAGAAAAAACCAAAAGAAAAGCAAAACCTATAGCCTCATGAGCTATGATCGGTCCGATGACGAAGGTTTACACGGAATGACGTTTGATGACAGTCTATAGTTTTTCCTGAGGCCCTTCTTCAATAGGCCTTTCTTTAAAGTATAATTCCTGAGCATTTTCGTGGGATGAAAGATCCTAGTAAATTTCAACCAGTCTTATTAAAGATAATTCAGTGGCCTTTTTTTTCTTGTAAACTAGACAAGTTCAGTTATATACGGGTTTATTTCTTAGCCTTTTTTTGTCTTGGCCACTAGGAAAAATTACCCAAGTACCGATTCCATCTGCTCACTATTTCTCCACAAGGCTTCCTCACTACAGAGATTCTCAAAATAGTGTTCGTTTAATTATTCGATTCATTTTCGAAAATACCAGGTGTTCGGGACGGGGTGATTTGGGGGCCGGGAATTCCTCTTGAATTC